CAAAGAAGCTATCAAAGTTGGGAAGAAGAAAGGCAGAATTTGGCTAAGTCAAAATCCGTGTTCAGGGTACATACTTTGGAGGCATGGTTCTCTCAATTGGCTTGATGGAAATTCTATTTTAAGGGTTTTTTTTTTGCAGATAAAGTTACCATCTCTCCAATGGTATGCTTTGTGGATCCAGATGATGTCATTAAGGTTGTTTTCCAAGGCCTCAAAGTTGCTACCTCAAAACTGGAAAACTGCCAGAAAATGGCTAAGGCAGAAAACTGTTTTGTGAAGCCTACTTTAGAGCTCAATTCGAGGAGTATGGATCTGATTCAAGTCCAAAGGCTTCCACAACATAAAACTAGGTATGTTTATCTACCAAGGGAAGGAATCGGATGAAAGATTGGAGTTCGGGAAGACCTCGAACGCAAGGCACAAAGTTAGTACGAAAGCTGCCTTTTGACTGTTTTGCGGGCAGCTTACTTGTGCTTCAAGAAAAGAAGTTTGTGTCCGAATTTTGTAACCTTTTTAGAGTAGAATTTTACCTTATTTGTTTCCTTGTTCATCTAGGTTTGTATTAGGTTTATTTGCCTTTAAATACTCTTCTATTGAGAACCTTTTGGTTTTTGTGCAAGTTGCGACTTGTTTGAGTTTGGTGGATTCCAAGCTTGTGAGCTTTGTATCGATTGAATATCCTCTTCAATCGTGGTCGAGCAACTACCCTTTTATACCATACGAGCTTTCCCCAGGTGTGGAATTGTCCGTTGGTTCCGTTTTATCCCAAGTTCGTATTAAGAGCGCTTAGTTCTTGATTCGAGCTCAATCCATTTTTCGATTGAGTCATTTGCTATGTTACTTTGATAACATATACCCCCAGGGGCGTATCACTTTTGGGATCCAGATGAATCCATTAAGACCATTTTCCAGACGTCCAAAGATGCTATCTACAAAGCTGAAAATTGCCTGAAAATGGCAAAGGCAGAAAACTGTTTTGTGAAGGCTTCCACAAAATGAAAATATGTATGTTTTTGTACAAAAGGATGGAATTGGATGAATGATTGGAGTTTTGGAAGGCCTCGAACGAAAGGCGCGAAGTTAGTACGAAGTCACAAAATCTGTCTTTTTAAAAACATAATTGATTTTCTTATTTGATTAGGATTAGGTTCTTTTGCTAATTTTTAGTTCTCATTCGTATTAGAATGTAATTACGAGTTGCTTGTACGAAAGTTAACCCTATCTAGGCCTATTTGAACTCGTATTTTGCATTGTAATCGTCAGACTTTGATTAATCGAAAAGATACCTTTATGTTTTGTGCAAGTTGCGTACTTGTGAGAGCTTTGGTGGATTCCAAGCTCGAGTTTAGCTCTGTATCGATCAAAACCACATTGATAGTGGGCAGGCATCTACCTTTATATAATTCGAGCCTTCTTCCACGTGAAAGATTGCACGTTTGATTCCGTTTTACCCAAACACCCAAGAACATCCTTGTTTTTTGTTTGAATTTCGTTTTAATCAATCCAATCCTTCAATTGATTGTGTTCTACGTATGGTAAAAATCCAACCCCCAGGGTTCCATTATAATAACTGAAACACTTGAAAGAAGGTGATGCACCTTGCAAGACAGAGTTTCGTTTTGGCATTGATGAAGAAGACAGTTTCGATAGATTGGAAGTAGACCTTTTTGCTTGGCAGTGAGAATAAGAAGAAGCTTCTTCTGGACAACAATAAAAAATACTACTTTGAATCAATGAATAAAACAATAGCAGGCCGTATAGCGTTGAACATTTTCTTTCTATTGAATGATCCAAAATATATATTATTCTAAGGAAACGAGGATACACAATATAATTATCCTCTTCTTTCTGCAATTTCTCTTGCAATATATAAAACAAGGCAAAGATTCAATTATCTACATCTCTACACTATATATAGTAGTGAAATGGGAAAAACTGATGCGGCATTTCAAATTCCTGGACTCCTGGGCATCTCTCGGAAGGCTGATTTAGGTATTACACATCTTCCATTAACTGTCCGTTTTCCCATCTCTCCACATAAACTAATTTATGTTAATTCGGCCGGGCCCATGTTATGAAAGGAGAAAATGCATGAGTGTTTTGGGTGGACTATTGCATAAGTAGTGTCATTAATGGCGCAATATATCTTTGATACAGTATTAATGGAGTATGGACTAAAAACAAACTTATGAGAAAAACATGCAGACGATCTATTCTTTTGATCCTATTGCCTGATACTGATACGATGTCCGAAGCTCGATGGATCTCTATTAAGTTGTTGCTCTTCTTTATGTTTTTATGCTTCAACTTCGATGAGTTTTCTATCTTCATGGAAGGTTCATCGAATTGAACTGGTAGGCTATCATTTCTTTCCCGGTTTATCTAAGTTTGTTGTTTGTGATTGATTTATAAAATAACGAAATGAATTTCAATGTTGGATTGGGTGCTATATTTGTTTGAACTCAAAGGAGATGTTAGCGTGGAACGGGCAATTGTACTTTCCGACCGCCCCTGTAAAGTGTAAACTTTCTTGGTTGTTTGTTTTTGTATTTTTTCTTTGCTTAGCTCTTGAAATAATAATATAAAATCACCATGAGAAACATGTTTCCTTTCAATTACAATATATACACTCTGGTTTGATTTTCTCAAAGCTAATGTTCTCAACAACCATATTTTTCCTCATCAATTTCTATTCTTATGGTCCAACTCACAGATAAAATTTTGAATTATTTTAGGATTATTTAGACACTGTTGATTTTGGCTTATGTTTTTTGTGTCTATTCATCTCATTACAAGCCATAATTATTGCTAAAATTAATCTTCCGCACAACACTTTGGAGTTGGGGGTATTTAACTCGGAGTAGAAGTTGGATTTGGGTTTGGGAATGGAAGTGGTGGAGCAAGAAACTGTGTTTGGATTTGGTAATAGGTAAAGTTTAAGGTTTGATTTCTTTTGGTAAAATACTATAATTTCTTTTAGGCTGAGATATAAAATCATGGATTTATGGGATCAAATGAATCAAAAATTTGAGCTAAGGGATGAGATTTTAGCTTCTTGAAGGAGTGGATTCTATTTTGATAAATTAAAGTTAATGATTAATTGAAAGGATATTTATAGTTAGATTTTTGGTATTGAGATATGCATAGATAGTTTAAAACTATCCCAAAACCATGAATTGATATTGGTTAGTTGATTATCATTTTCAGGAAGGTGTATTGAAAGGCATGGCAGGTGACCTCATTAGGTGAAGGCAGAGAAGAGGGAGTTGGCGAGGGTATTGATCAAATGGAGGAGGGTATTGAAAGATATGGAAATGAAACTAGAGTAGGTGAAGAGAGAGACGGAGGAGATGATGAGGTGATTAATGGAAATGGAGCGGATATTGAATGGACATTAAAGTGGATTGGAGCAGGTGAAAGCGAAGATGAGGAAGATGTGCATATTGATGGAATTGGAGATGAATGTTGGTTTTACCGAGCTTATTACAACTGCCTCTAAGAAAGGTGAGTTGGACGAATACAAGGGGAGGATTGAGGAGTTGGAGAGCAAGTTGAAAAGAAACCCAATCGGAAGAAAAATTGAGGGTCATAGAGAGAAGGTCCAGCAAAGTAGTAGAAATGGGATTGCATAATGAGGATTTAAAACTTTATTTTGGGTGAAGCATGTGGCTCTTGAGATTAAAAATAGAGGGGATAAAAAGTTTGTTGTACAATGGAGAGTATTGGTGATTGAATCTTTAGGTGTTATTGAAGTTAAGGATCATCCTCAATTCAAGCTATTGGAATAAGCAAATAAAGAGTGTTTGATTTTGTGCTTTGTTACTTTGATCCAATCTATTGCTAGGTTACCCCCTATCTTTTCGTTTGCTCTCAAGTTTTGATGGTTATATTTAGTGCATTGATAGTAAATGGTTGACTTGAGGGTTACGTTCCTTTTCTTTAGATTGGTGGGCATGTTGCTCCTAAAATAAGAGCATTAAACCCTTTATGTAGGATTGTGAGGTTTCGGCTTCAGTTTCAAACTATTTGTGTATCGTGTGAGAATTTCAGTGAGCTTTTACACTCTATCTTTCTTGGCAATCAACAAACCAATAGCATTTTAATGGAGGCTTAATTATCATTATGCAAATGAGATTAAGGATACATTGTTATAATCTTAAACAATGAAGGTATCCTCCAAATGTTCGACCTTCAATCTTTATGTACATTCAAGATCAAAGGATTGTCAATAAAATTAAACAAGTTGACAAACTTAAACATAACATAAAAGTACAAATAATCAAATATGAACATTCCAGCCAACGGGCCGGGTTATTAGCTAGTTAACTTTTTAAGATATTAAAAGTTTTGTTTTCATGGAGCACTGTTTCTTAGTGTTTAATCAAGGAGATTTGTTTATTAGTAATTCCACTTGAAGAGTTAATTGATGTTATTTATTTTTTCTGTTTATTTTCTTTTCTTTTCTCTTCTACCAACTAGGCAACACCATATGTTTGGTTTTAGTGATAATTAAATAGATGCATCAATGCAAGCATAATAATATACATGTATATAAGAAAATTGATATATCGTAATTTGCATTGTTTGGTTTATATGTTAGTTATTGTGTTATTTAAATAAGTTATTTTACTTTTGGGTGAAATGTCACTTTTATCCTTTTTTTGTAATACAAAAAAGTAAGACACATAAAAAGACAGGAACAAAGTTGGGGAAAAAAAAACACACAACAATCTCAATCAAACAATCTCAACAATCCCACAAAAAACTTGAGATTTAACTATCACTCATTTTGAGTAATAGTTTATGTCACATCAAGCAAGCAATGCATGTATTGTCTGTGCAGAAAATTCAGAAAAAAACGATGCATTGTGTACAATGCATATATTGTAACTATCTCAACCAAACAAACACCAAAACCAAACCACCCCTTTTATCTCTTCAATTCCTCTCTCTCTCTCTTTCTTTTCCACGAAGAAGCCCTTGGCAAAAGAAAGAACTAGATCTGGGTTTTCTCCTCTTCATTTTTTCTCATTTCATCATCAGCCACCTTCGAACACCCTCTCCATTATCTCTTTCCTTTGCAACCTTTTTCTCTCCCTTCAAGTCCAACAAAGAAGAAGATGGCCACACCGGTGATAGAGGTTGTGGCAAGAGAGAAGTTATGCTCGCGCCGCGATGCCTTGACTACTAAGGGAGGATCTCCATCATGGGCGCTGGGAGTCTGGTCACCAGCGGTGGGTTCGTATAGCTTCTCCACGATCTGGGTAGAAGAAGAAACTGTATGTGTACATTTTGTGGTTAGGTTTGTTTTTGTTTCCTTTTTTAGTGTTTGACTTCTCCTTCTTCCTGATTTCTTCTTCTTCTCGGTGGGTGCTCAGAATGCAGTGATCTGTGTGGGTTTGTGAAGGGATGTAGAGGACGAGGTCGACCACGCGGAAACCTGCTGCTGCAGCTTGCAGTGTCGGACAATCCCCGTGTCATCGTCGGCGGGGACGAAGATGGGTCAATTGGGAGGAGAACGGAACAGAGTGCCAACGACTTTGCACTCGGACTGTGCAGGTCGGGACACAATGCTAAAAGGCGAACCTCAGCTTCCTGGTGCAGGTTTTAATCCACCTTGGTTGCTATGCTGCTCATTCTATTGCTTTGTTCTGTTCTTTCTTTCTTGTTTTACTACTGTTGGCTTATTCATGCCATTTTTGTTGCCTCTTAGTTCAAAGAGCGACGAATCCTTAGGCAGAACTTTGATGGGAGGGTGACTCCCTAGTCCCTACCCAAGGAAAAGATGTCGGACGGCCAGAGTAAGTTATTTTTTTATGAGGGAAGACGTACTCCATAGAAATCAGCTTTACTATTTTACCTTACTGTGGAAATTAACACACTCAGTTGGTTTGGTTCTTCACTTTCTTTTCTTTTTTCCACTTTGGGGCTCTCTTCCTTTAATTTTTTAGTTCAATGGTGTTCGTTAGAGGTTGGATTCTTTGGGCGCAATGAATAGGTTGGAATTGATTTTTAATGTAGAAACTGTGAATTTCTATGCTTGCTCATGCTCTGAGTGGGTACAACGAATTCGTCTATAGGGGGTAAGAAATGTGGTTATTTAGTTTATGAATTAGAGGTGTTGCTCTTTCACTTGAATCTAGATGTAACAAAAAATTATGTGATCATAACCACGAGGGCAGAATATCAAGAAGGTATATATATTACAACATGAACAATAACCATCTCCATCAACCTATGGCAAGCAATGCTTCAAAGGATCGTAGTCGTTTGTACATGCTATAGAAGTAGTTTCTGTCTACTCATGAATAATGATTTTTGAGGAGGAGCTGAGTTGTTAGTCTGTAATGTATACCATATTTGTTGCGGTTTTGAACCCCTTTCCTATTTTAAGTTGTATCAGTCTGAGTTAATGAATGTCTCATCAGCTGGTTTGTAATGAAGGTGTTTTGGATATTGTACCATATATTAATGGATAAGAAGAATGACAGACATGTTGAGTGAATGGCAATTACATTTAGATTGAGTAGTATATTTTTGTCACCTATTTTGTTGTCCATTTTCACTTCATTTGTTCTTTATTCGTTTGCCTCGGCTGATATTACTCCAAGATCTAGATGTTGAGCGCTTCTACTATGCTATATAGTATTGGTGCTTTAATGTACAACTTGAAGTTGTACCATAACATTAAATGTATATGTTTAGGTTGTACCATAAAAGAATTTGTATCATTATGTTATGGTACAACTTTACAACTTGAAGTTGTATCATCACACAAGGTACAAGTTTAAGTTGAACCATAAAAGAATTTGTACAAAATGTATAGGTACAATCTGAAGTTTTACCATAATGTTAAAGGTACAATTTCAAGTTGTACCATAAAGGCAAAAACCTATAACACCAATACTATATAGCATTGTAAAATTCCTCATAGATGTTTTCAGCTGCCAATTGTTCGTCTTATTAAGATATGGAAGGTTCACTTTGTTTGTGTTTGTAACATGATACAGATAAAGGAAGGAAAAACTTGGTTTCAGAGAGAGAATTCAGCTTACATAAAATGATTCTTTTGTTTTGTGTTTCTCTTGCCCTTCCAATCTCAGTATGTGAGTTTCTCTCTCTCATTATATTATATATTCTTTAAAATATAAAGAGTGGGTACGCTTTATTGCTCAAAGCCGCTATTTACTGTTTCACTTCTTGTCGTTTTTTGTGTGCTCCCTCACCGGCCTCCTTTGGCTTTGAACTTGCAGCGACCGCTTCTTGCTTCTGGAAGGCACGTTATCCAGTCAGTTCGTCGCTCTGCTTTGCTTTCCCGCACATTCAAACCATGCCTTCCTTCTGCTTCTACAGTGTTGTCCTCTCCCCAACAGTTGGCTACGATTGTACTGGGAGACAAATGGTTCCCCTTTCCCCACTCCATAATCTCTTTCTTCTCTCTTGCAAGTTGCAACGAAAACCCTAAAAGTTTCCTCGCTGCTGCTCGCCATGGAACCCGCTGCAGAGCACGACGGTAGCAATGAAGATTTGGATGCCACAGTTTCGTCGAGTTCGTAATCGAGCCCTATCCATGGTGAGGAACAACAAAAACTGACGGTGGTGGTGGTGGCGCTGGACCAGTAGGAGAAAAGGGTCAGAGTTGGTGGAACCGCCGATGTTCAGGATGGAAGACAGGAGAAGCTCGCGGCTGCCGAGGAGGGGACCTAGAATGGCCACGACTCCCTGGCCGGGGAAAAGTAGGGCGGCGGCGGTGAACTCAATTTTACTTTTGTATTAACCGATTGATCTTCCTCCTACCACAACACCCAAAAAATTAACTTGCTTCTCAGTTTACTTGATTTTATTGTTGCAGGCACAAGCTAACCATGGAGCTTGGAGCAGCAGCAGCAAACGTAATTACAAAAACTGGTTTGGGAGGCCGGTGCCACTGACATCAGGTTCCCGTTCACCATCAATGGTAGGCCATCTTCAAGTTAGGACTTTAGAATAGACAATTTTGAGTGAAAGCACTCACAAGTTTTGATCTTTAAGAGAGGGTTGAGCTATGAACCTGATATTGTGGGATTACCAGATGGGGAATGCTAACAAGAGATGATGTGAGAGGGGTCAAGAAGGTGACAAAATTGCCACTTAAGGCTGAAACCAACCAAATCTGAGCTACTACTGAAAATCAATTTACTATTTATGTTTTGTTCTTTAATATGTTTTTGTGCAGTGCACAAGCAAAGGGGCTTTAGTGTTCTTACTGCTTCTTTCTTTCACTTGCTGTTATTATTTCAAAGATTGTATCTTATTACTACTTGGCTTTGTGTGGAGTCTGTTGTTGAGGAATTTCACTCACTGTGGCAGGTCTAAAGGAAAAGTTCATTGGATTCACATAATATAAGCAAGATTTTTCATTGTTTGTTCATCTTGGTTTGATGCTATTAGCTCTACTATTGCATCATTTCGATACTTTTGATTCTCTGGTCAGTGGGTGGATAATAGATTAGAAAATATCCCGATTGTGATTAATAATGGAGTTATCTATTTTTATGAATTATAATGGAGGTTAATGTAGATAAAATTTCTACCCTCCCTCTGTTCACCATAAAAACGAGAACAAGGTTTCACAAAACTTGGACAAGATGGACTTCAGAATATTTGTGGTGTTTTGTTGCACATGAACATGGGTAAGGCTTGAACAGATTCTCTCTATATATTAGTTGTTTCTCGGTTTTGACAGAATTTCTGGTTTCACATGTGAGCTTTGGTTGAATTATAGGTTAGTTTTCATTTGCTTCTCTTGGATTAAGCAATGTTAAGGACACAGTTGGTGTCAGCAAGTTTTGATAGTAATGCTTATGTTTCTATGATGCATGTTCGTGGCTGATTGCTTATGGCATTACAGTGGTCTCCTTTGAAGTTTCTTATTCGGATTTATTTTTCCTTCTTTGTTGGATTCAGATTCCCTTAGATTGATTAGTTTGACAGAACGTGCCAGCCCAAATCAGAGGACGAGAAAGCAGAGGTAAAAACACAGTATCGGTTGGATATACTGGAGTTCACATTGAACTAAAGTTGACAATCATTCATGGTACTGATCAATGTTGTTTTATCTCTTCCCCTTTATCTTTAGTTCCTTTACCTTACTACCTGATGTGTTAGGCTCTTTACGAAGTTGAAATGCTTGATTGATGTCATAGAGCCTCCATTATCAATTGATAGAGTATGCCAGTTTATAGTTTGTAAGATTAAATTCGGCCAATGATCATACTTGCTTCAATTGAACAAGATATGATTTTCACAACTCTTTGGAGTCCCCTTTGTGAAAACATTCACCGAATTTAGATGAACCAGCCAATGATCATAGCACATGCATATTCTCTAAACATATCCTTCCCCTTATTTGTTTTTCATCTCTTAATCCATCAGTCCCTTTTGTTTTTTTGAGTTTATCTGATGTCAATTGCATATTTTGGTATTAGAATTATGGCAACCAGAAACTGATGTATTCAGGGAAGTTTGCAGATCAACCAACAAGTTGAAAGAAAGGTAATTAGCTGCACTTTCTCCTTCGTTAAAAGTGACAACTACTACAAACCATATCTTTTTTTTGGATTTGTAGGGTTAAGTATTCTTACTCTTTTTCATCTCTCTTGGATTTAAGCTGAACTCAGCAGGTGGTTCAGGGGATTTTTGTGATGCTTACTTGACTTCTTCCTTTCTTAATGCAAACTTGGAGAAACTACCGGCTGCTCAATGAGGTCAAATTCGTGGGGGAAAGTTTGGAGGAGACAGGTTGTAGAACTTTTCAGAACATCTAAAACATTTCAGGCAGTTTTCTCGCTTTGTGTTGGCAGAACGTTCTGAACATGAAATATTAATGCATAAATTTGTATCATCTTCCATGGGTCAATTTCTGCATCAAAGCTCAAGGAAGTGAAAACCAAAAAGAATGGTGGAGAAGGGGAAAGCAAGGTGAATTAGACTACAGTGAGAAACCAAATCGTCCATTGGAGACAAATACAAAAGGTGCATTTACACTATGATTTGTTTTCTCATGATGTCTGTTTTTACCTTCCCGAACTGTTAAGTTTGCTTTGGCATAATAAGAATGTTACCTTCTCGATTGATGCAGTTTATTATAATTGGGTACACTTTTGGGCCTTCATAGGATATTAGTTTTCCAGCGTCGGAGTGAATTGAATGCTTGCATTGTTAATTTACGGAGTGAATTGAATGCTTGCATTGTTAAATGATGCAGGAATATCAGAAAGGAGGAACAATTTCTCTACAAGCTCAAGGAATCCAAACTTCTTCACCACCATAGCTAAAGGTCGCCTGAAGCATTGTTACATTGTAGATTCGTCCATTTTTATCAAACGAAATTGTCTTCTTTTCCAAAGGAAGTTTCTATCAAATGCTTATACTTTGGAGATATCTCTTATCTGCAGTAAATGGGGAAACTACTTGGATTTTACTAATTGTTTGATATTGTGTAGTTATGAAGAGATTCGGACCTTTAAACATAATTTGATGTTTGAGAGCACCATGCTGATTGACTATGGAATTCACGATGCGAAGGTTTGCCAACTACTTTCAGTATTGTGAAATTCAGCCCAATGACAAGAAAACAACAAACTCAATTGATGGAATTCAGTTTACCATCAACTGAATTGCCCGCTATACGATCATACTAATGTAAATCCAGTTCCTGCGGCGAAGCCGCGGGTATTGATTCTAGTTGAACATGAAAGCTGGGTACGCTTTTTGCCCCGTTACTGTATCACTTTCTGTCTTCTAGCGCCTATCAAAGTCTTCGCGAGAAACATTCCACATCATCGACTACTTTCTCTCGCCGGTTTTCCCCAAATCCCGCCGGCGACCATGCCTTGGGGAACGGCATGGTCCGTGCAGAGCCCTACTTCCCATACTCCACTGCTGCGCTTGCTCCTTTTTGCAGATGTCGTACCATCATCGCTTTGCTTCCCCCGAATAGTGGAAGAGTGAGCTTCTCTGCTTTTGCTCTCTCAAAATCGCCTACACCTTCTCTTCTATTTCGCTGTTTCTCTCTTCCCCGCTTTGACTCCAGGCTATTTCAATCAAAATTCTCTTCCTCACTGATCTCTTCAGCCGACGGTGGGTACTGCTACCAGAAACAAACGGCGGTGGTGTTTTCCGGCGAGGAAACTTGCGTTCAAATAAATTGATTGCACCTTTGACTTCTTTGGACAACGATCACTAAACACGGTTCACACCTCTTCAAACACAGTTCGAACGAGGGTGTTCGATGTTTACACGACTCTCGAGACAGATCTTCATTAAATTACTCCTACTCCTATGGAGGTTCTGAGAGAGCTCCAGATCTACGACTATTGATAAAAAAATTGCAGAGGAAAGATAAGATTGATAAAACTTGACAAGTGGTGTCGAGTGGTAAATTTTTTGCGGGCGTTTTCTCTGACAACTCGTCCTCCTATTTATAGGCTTGAGGTGATAACCGTCGTAGAAAACTGTCTAGAGAGTAACTTCCAAAAAGCACCGCTTCCCTTCTTTCCCGGATGTGGCTGACGTGTCCTTGAACGTGGAGTAATTGACAGTTTCCAATCAAACTGTCGGCTCTCCCTTTTGGAACTGACGTCTTGTTACTTGCCCTTTCCTTTACCATGGCTATTCCAGATCTCACGACGAGGCGGTTTGTCAAACATGATGACAATGGTACGAGGTGGTTTACCAAACTTGGCACGAGGAGGCTTGTCACGACGAGGCGGTCTACCAGACTCTAAGCGAGGAGGCTTGTCGCGACGAGGCGATCTACCAAACTCTACGTTAGGAGGCTTGGCGCTTAGACTTAGTAGAGGCTTGGCGGACTTGCGACGAGGTGGCCTGGCGGACTCGCGAAGTGGCCTGACGCGAGGAGGCTTGGCGCTTTAACTTAGTTTATTTTGTGACCTTCTCCCCACATATCTTGTAGACTCGCGATGTGTTTAAACAAGGAGGTTTGTCGCGACAAGGCGGTCTACCAACTTGACGCGAGGAGGCTTGTCGTGATGAGGCACCAGACTTAGTTTATTCTCGCGCGTCATGTCAGGCCTAATCATTTGGGTTTAAAAATCTAGTATCGTAGGCCCAGTTTAAATAACATTAATTGTTATTGTTGATCTGGCCTTATAAAGACAGTTAATGTCTTGTAAATAATCAATGTGGTACACGATTATTTTTGTAGTGTAAACAAATGCCCCCCAACTACTTAGTGCATAAGAATTATGGACTAAGTAGTTGAACACCACCATGCTAGCGAAAGTAACAAGCTGGCTAGTGTCTACTCAGCACACCTAGTTAATCCTTAGCCAAATTTTGGCTTTCACGTCAAGCCAACACGGTCGGATAGAACTCGACATCAACGACTTGTCCCATGCCTTAGCCAAATTTTGGCTTTTAATGGTCAAGCCACCTAATGCATTCAACGAGACACCAACTTCACTTTATCACATACACCCTCATTGACATCTCGTACTTGGCCACATGGTTGAGAGAATAACTTAGAATTTTTCGCACCTATTTGGCATAGATTGGCTCATCCCACCTCGTCACAAGGCTAGACAGCTCCATCGCGAGAAGTCAAGCCGTCTACTTTTTTGCCTTAGAAAAAATAATGTTCATTTTTATGTTGGTAGAGACATTATGGTCACCACTCCTCTGCCACCACTTTCAAGTCATCATGCCCCCCAGGCCGTGGCTACTCGGGACAAGATAACATGGCATGGCATGGCCTGATGTATGGCTTCATGTCAAGCCATCACAATGACTTGGTGGCAAGATCTTCATGTCGAAGTCTAACAACTCCGACTCAAGATTTTAACTTTGATATTTTCCTTCTATATTTTCTTTTAGCCATGGTTGGCTACAATATTTTTTTTATAACTAATATATAATAAGTACATTATATAAATTTATTTATTTTATATGGCAAGAAGTGACAAATGTCACTGCTCTCCATAGCCTTTGGCAACAATCAATGTACCAAAGGTGTACACCCATTGCCAAGTCCATGGATCAAACCAGACATACCATCCATAGACCACATGACTCTTTTCCTCCATGAGAGATATATCTTCATACATTAACTTTGAATTTTCTAGCTTACTAATGGGTGGTACATAGTCAGCCTGTCTAGTTTTGGTGGCCTCGCATGAGGTATCATGCTTCTTTGCTTGGGCCACCTTACTTGACATGTCAAGGCTATCATGATTATTCTTCTGCCTTGATTTCCTCCCACTTGATACATGTTTAATCTCCTCACGATGTTGGAGACCAGGTCTAGGCTTGACAAGTCGACAACCACTCGTGTAGCTTTCTTGTCTTCGTCTTTCAACATATAAAACTTGTTGGCTCCTACACTTAGCACTCAACCACCATTGATTCTTTGTGCAACCATGTTTGGCTGGTCTGTATGGTGACTTCTTATACATGCCCCCATGTCCACTCTTGGTGGCTGGTGTTGAGTACTTACTATTAATTGACATGGACTTGCCCCCCAATCCACCATTGTCCATAATCTCACGCTTATAAAATCCATGTGGGGGTTTGACTTCTTGTATCTTCTTGGAGATGCTATCTACTCCATTCTTCATGGTGGGTGAAATGCTCCCTTGTCCTGACTTAACCAAATTTGCAAGACTATGACAAATCTTTCTGCCTTTCCCACGTCTTTCCTTGTTGGACTTGCTCACATGTCCACTGTTTGTCATGCTCACTTTGAGCCCTGTGATCATGGAGTTGTCCACCTTGACGTTTGGTTGAAGACTACCCTCTCGCCTCCATTGTGTCACACCCAATATGTTGCCACGAGCCATTGGGAATTGGCCTTGGCGGGCCTGGGCATTCTTACGAAGGAACCTTCTTCTTTGGGTCCTTGTCATCTCAACCACTGCTACTGGTTGCTGACGATGAGCATCATACGTATGCCATCCACCATGTGGAAAATTTGGCATCTTGAATGTTCTCCTCTTTTGGAAAGGAGCATGGGCCACCCATTGCCTCAGTTGCCCCCAAGCTGGCTGCCTCACTTGTTCTACTTGTCTCTCGTATGGCGGATACCTTGGCCTTGACTTGTTGGGAAGACCAATTCTTTGATGAATCGATGGCATCGGCTTCTCTTCGTCGAGTTTGAGACTCTTCTTGCACCGAGCACACAACTTGTCAACTTCATCAGTCATCATTGCGGCCGGGCTGACCTGCTTGGTACCCGACAAGCTCCCTTGCTCGAAAACCACATTGGGGCTCCTTCGAGGCGGCGTTGTATCCAACACCAGCTTGAAACGTAGAAACTCGACTTTGGAGAAGTCAAGTTCCCTGAGGCGAAGAAGGTGGCAAACTCGGGAACTCTGAATCCCCTTGGAAACGGGTAAAGTCTATCTACCCATTCTGGGTACGGCTTATGGTATACAGGTGGCATAGCAGGTCTTACTCCCATGCCAAAATGCTCCGTGAGGAGTTGAGCCACCTGATCTCTAAGAGTGTTGGCCTCATGCCCCCCTTGTTGCCCCCCATACGGTACAAACCCAATGGGGTCCATGCCATGCCCATTGAAATGGGGTGGCGTTGGAGTTGGGTAGCCTCGAGGTGGGATTTGATCCATGTTGCCACCTAGGCCTCCTCCTACTCCCAAATTCACGAGAGCCACGTAGGGTCTTGCCTTCGGGATAGAGGGACGAGCACCCACTTGCACAGGTTGCTGCTCAACTCGAGTGTTGAACATGGTGGCGAGGTTCTCACCACGCGGGGGTACCACTTCAACTCCCACGCGTGCCTGTGATGATTCCCCCACTTGAGTTGTAGCAGGAATCTCGACATCACCTACTCGACGTGGAGATGGTTGGCTTGCTGTTTGAGGTGGTTGGCTTGCCGTTTGAGGCGGCAAGTTCTCTTGCCGTGGTTGGCCATTCCGACCACCGGCGAGAGAAAGAACACTATTATTAGGCGTTAGGCCTGTGCCATCTAATGGCAAAGCTCTTGACTGCACTACTGGTCTACCTAAAGACTGTCGGAGTTGATCCACCTCATTTGCATTTTTGTTGACTACTTCAAGCAATTGACTGAAACATCTATCTAGGCGAGAATTGAGACACTCTATCTGAGAATTTACCTAATGAGTATTTGCCCGAGTTTCTTCCAACATGTGGCGATTCTCCATCAGCATTTGGCGGTTCTCCTCCGTTGCTTGATGGGTGTCAGCCACCATCTTGCGGTTCTCCTCCATCATCTGACGAAGGACCCCCACTGCTTCGCCGAGATCTCCACCAAACGCGGTCGCCACCAAGATCTCTGCTCCACCATTTCCTCCGGTCACCGCGTTGGACACTTGGCCATGCTCGATGTTGGCCACCTGCTCCTCCATGAATCCAGACGGAACCTCACCTTCTTGGTTCCTCCGCCTTGGAGCCATTGAATCGACCACAAGTGTCCCACCAGGTGTGCCAAATTTGTTTTCCGGCGAGGAAACTTGCGTTGAAATAAATTGATTGCAACTTTGACTTCTTTGGACAACGATCACTAAATACGGTTCACACCTCTTCAAACACAGTTCGAACGAGGGTGTTCGATGTTTACACGACTCTCGAGACAGATCTACATTAAATTACTCCTACTCCTATGGAGGTTCTGAGAGAGCTCCAGATCTACGGCTATTGATAAAAAATTGCAGAGGAAAGATAAGATTGATAAAACTTGACAAGTGGTGTCGAGTGGTAAATTTTTTGCGGGCCTTTTCTCTGACAACTCTTCCTCCTATTTATAGGCTTGAGGTGATAACCGTCGTAGAAAACTGTCTGGAGAGTAACTTCCAAAAAGAACCGCTTCCCTTCTTTCTCGGATGTGGCTGACGTGTCCTTGAACGTGGAGTAATTGACAGTTTCTCAATCAAACTGTCGGCACTCCCTTTTGGAACTGACGTCTTGTTACTTGCCCTTTCCTTTACCATGGCTATTCCAGATCTCGCGATGAGGCGGTTTGTCAAACATGATGACAATGCTATGAGGTGGTTTACCAAACTTGGCACGAGGAGGCTTGTCGCGACGAGGCGGTCTACCAAACTCTACGCGAAGAGGCTTGTCGCGACGAGGCGATCTACCAAACTCTACGTGAGGAGGCTTGGCGCTTAGACTTAGTAGAGGCTTGGCGGACTTGCGACGAGGTGGCTTGGCGGACTCGCGAAGTGGCCTGACGCGAGGAGGCTTGGCGCTTGAACTTAGTTTATTTTGTGACCTTCTCCCCACATATCTTGTAGACTCGCGATGTGTTTAAACAAGGAGGTTTGTCGCGACAAGGCGGTCTACCAACTTGACGCGAGGAGACTTGTCGCGATGAGGCACCAGACTTAGTTTATTCTCGCGCGTCATGTCAGGCCTAATCATTTGGGTTTAAAAATCTAGTATTGTAGGCCCAGTTTAAATAACATTAATTGTTATTGTTGATCTGGCCTTATAAAGACAGTTAATGTCTTGTAAATAATCAATGTGGTACACGATTCTTTTTGTAGCGTAAACAGGTGGGTACATCATCTTTCTTCTAACCCTATATTTGATGGAAAAATTGATGCTCTTGCCACTCTCCTTGGTTGGAATAAGGTTTAGTTATATGTTCTGTCGAGGCCTTATGTGGTGTGCGGCGTTTGAGTTTCTTTTCTAGGTTCTTCTGCTGAGCTTTTGTTCATTTCTCTTTTCCTGATGGATAGTAGGTATTAGCTCAAATAGACACTTGGTACTCGGTGGGCTCAGTCACGGAGAGTGGAAAGGTGGGGAAAACAGGGTACCTGGTGATAAGATGCGAGAGCTGATCTTCCAGGCAACGCCGAACCGACAGTGGCCGCAGTGAGCTTCTCTCTCTATATTTCTCTCTTCTTCCCTTCGAATTGTGATCTCGACTCATTGCCCTACGAGTCCATTGTTTCGTTCATGTTCTTGCAGGGTACGGATCGAAGGAGGGTTTCATTGTCTCTGCCTATCTACAGGTGAGATTCAATCACTGGGTGGTTCTGTTTATTTGTTCTATTTGATTGAAAATGAGACTAACCTTTTTTCCCTTCTTGGTGGTTATGGCATTCTGTGCGAGGCTGAGAAAGAACGTACCAGGTTTATTTCAGAATCGAATTTCTTGTCCATTTTCAATGCTTTCATTTTCGGTTGGTTTAATGCTTTTAATGGTAAAAGAAGCCTTACAAACGAATGAAATGCATATGATTGGGTTTATCTGTGGGTTTGGTGCTTTTAATTAGCATTGGACTCATTAGGTCCAATTAGTTAGTACAAAGAGATCTGTTGGTTATAGTAGTACAAGGAATGCAAAGTTGTATAGCATAAAAGGAGATTGACTTATGTAATGAGCTTATGCTCTTGCCATTTTTTTTCTTGCAGAGGTTTGTGGATTGTGAAGCCTGCCAACCACTTGGAAGAGGTTTATTGAGACGCCAATGACCTACTGCCCAAGGCAAGCTTATGAAATCTCTAGATTATTGTTTCACCTATTACATTTTTGGGTGCTTTGAATTGTTGTAGTCCGCTTGAGTGCTTTTATTTCTTTGTTTGGGTTCATGGACTCATAAAATATCTTACTCTTCAGGAGTATCATGGAGCAATCTTTATTTAGATTTGTGGTCTTATTTGCATTCTGCAAATCTGGTTGCAATTCATTATGTTTTTAAGAGATGGAAAAAAGGGTGTGTTTTCTTGCTGCAATCTTGGTAAACTAATTAAGCTTAGGCCATGGGTGAAATGCCATATGTAGTCATACTGTCGCTTCCTCTCATTATTCTTTGAGTTTACTTCGTTCATATAGGTGCATTACAGCTCAAAACGTTTGCTATTTGCCAGATGTGATGGGAAACTGGCTTATAGGTAGATAATCGAGACTGTCAGGGAGAAGATTGGGTTCAGTTGCTTGCAGGAAAAGGAACTGATGCCCTAATGTATCACGAGGAAGGTGGGGAGAAGGAGGCTGGGACTTTGTTGCTGGCATTGGGTATCATGGTAAGGAATCATCTATGCAGGTTGGGGTTGCTAAGATGTTGCTCATGAGTCATGAAGGAAGGAAGTAATAATTTTTGGTATATTTTTGGCTTCATATTTGTGATTTTTGGGTTTAGTAACTAACTTCCTCCATATAGCAGGGTATAGTAAGTAAGCTGCAATAGTTGCTATAGCTAGGCTTTGCTTGGTTGAATAGATGAGAGAGGGGGAGGGAAAGGATGAGAGAAAAAGGTTTGATTAACCATACTAAGGTGTAATATACTCTCATGGTTATTTTTTCCAAAGAGGGGACAAAAGGGTTTCGTTTGAAGGTGAAGACTGGGTGGAAAAGGATAGGAGAAAAGATGATTATGGGTGTCTTGACATGCCATGGTTGTTGGTTGTCTGTTGTTTGGATTTTAATTAATTGATACTTTCTTTTCTTAATCTATTATAGGTTTAAGAAATCATGCTATTTCATAGGTTAACAAATTCTTTGTGCCTTACCCACTTCCAATTCAGGTCTGCAACCTGATTGTATTTCCAGCTTCCTATTTTGGTCATTTGTTTGCACTGCATTCTGTTTGCAATAACGTCAAAATTGCAGTGTCATTGTCTCCCAAGTCCCAGGTAATTCTCTCACTCTCTCTTAACACTTTCCATTCATTCCTTGCTCTTTATGTTCGTTTATGACTTAATGCGGCTGGTGAGTGGCAGTGGAGTTTGGAGCAAGTTTACCATTCTAGTCCGCAGTGGGACAACCATTCAGGTCTACGCTTTTGCCCTCACTTATGCATTAACTTACCTTATGTCCCTCTAAGTTACACTTTTCAAAGCTCGGTTGTTTGCATTGGCAATCATACAGGTTCTGTTATTTGGGGTGATGGCATAAGGACCAAAAGAAAGGCTCCACATGCACATACTATGTGGTTATGCAATTTAAATCCTGTCATGAAACTTTTCAAAATGAAATAAATCAAGCTCGGGAATTTATACTCGATGGCTCTTCTCAATTGGATGGCTCATGAAAGTCTTTTTCATCTTGGTCAAGTAAGAGAAAGTACTTGATAGATCCGGACAGTTGTACGAGTAAGACGAAAAGGTGCCTCGAGTTAGTGTTTAGCTTTCTTTTCTTATATATTTTGAATATGGACTTAACTTTTCTCACTTTGATTTACTTTGTTATTTGATAGAAGAAACAAATGTTGTATAAACTAATCAATGTGTCAAGAAGAAGAAATGAGTGGCTGATGTGTATCACCACACGATTCTTCATTGGCCACGAATGAAACTTTATAAGTTTAAGGAGATGAAACGAATGGCTGGTGTGTACTTACCTAGCTCCCTTTTGGGCTCTGTTTAATGTTTTTTTTTTTTTTTTTGTATGAACCTGTTTGAACCTCACTGTACAATATACACTTTTATAAGAAGTCTTTTAGGTATTGTGCTTGATGATTGCTCCGTATATAGTATTCAGTTGGTATGAACTGTGTTCATTTATTAACATGCTCCAACATCAACACAATGTATCATCAGCCCCCAACAAGTGCAAAAGAGATGCATGGTTTATTTCTCATGATTTTGTTCAAAATAGGACAGTGCTTTCTTCACCAAAAATTACTAATCAATGTGTTCTTAGAAGTGCATCCAACTTATGAGTCTTGAATATAATTGCCGACTAAATATGGAATTGAAGATACGAAGTTCTCATGCATACACTTTCAAAACTTTTAAATCACACTGCTACCGGGAGCATGACCTCCAGTTTGTTGTCACATAAACTGGACAATATACGATTATACTGGTACAACTTTAGTTCTCGCGGCGTAGCCGCGGATATTGATTCTCGTTTATCATGATAACTCTCTCCATTTTTCACAATCACATACGGTTTTCCCATTGAATTTTTACAATTTTTGTTACCTTCTCATTTGACTCACTTTCATTTCCTTTTTGTTTTTCTTACGTTGTAGACAATGACTTTGAGGATTTGGTCTATGTGTGGGTCACCGAGCCCTTGCTCTACAACTACGTTTGTTACATCCACGAAGGCTGCATTCCGCCATCATTGAATGTGGTCGTGGAGATCCTAGATCTTAAGAGCCTTGAAGGTTTCTACCTTCAAATTCCACCGCCCATATTGAACTGCTAAGGAGATGGAAGAGCACTTTGAGTTGGACTTTGGTGAAGGAAGGCGAGTGCATACAAGAGGAAAGTTACAGGTTCGTCAGAAGTTTGGTTTCACTGATAGGGTTCCTAACTTACATTCGTTGTAGCTGGTGTTACTTTACTTTTCGCGTCGATGTTTTTGTTGATACCTCTAGATCTGTTCGCTTAGACTTTGTTACAGGATGCAAGTTTTCATAAGATTTTGTATCGTGATTGGTTTTGTGCAATCTTGCAAAGATGGAAAAATGGTGCAGAATGATCCTATTTTTTTTAATATATATATTGATGAGTTTGCGATTTTAATCAGCTTGCATTACATGAACTCCTCTACAATCTACTACTAGCATTGTGCCCGGCCCGTTGGGCGGTGGAGCACAAAATCTCACGTGTATTTTGGTTTACTCTATTGATCTGGGAGTGTTTCCCGGAAGGTCAATCACGTCATTTTACTCATAATTATGGCGCTCTGCGTTTTGATTTCCGCATGTGCAAGTAAGCTGTGTGAACAAGGCCTCCCCATGAATAAGATTTGGGCCTGCCTTCGGCCCTGCTCTACTGCAACGGCCCATTGAACCACTCACAACGTGCTTTCGTCAAAGACAAGATTGGTTTGTACAGCCGTTCATTTCTTCTTCAATTTATTATTTTATTACTAACCATGGGAAAGATATTTGTTTGCAGTATTAAGTTTATTTGCATTACATGGAACACCTAGTAATGTATTCAATATTACAAATAAAATTATAATATTCATATTTAAACATGACATTTAACGTCAATATCTAAACATTTATACTTGAATCCAACAAATAACATCAATATTTAACTTTTATACTCATAAAATAAATAATAAAAATATAATTTTTATCAATTAAATTCACTAAAATAAGGTCATTTTACTTAGAGATTCGTATATCGATCATGTCGGTCATACCGGTGGTGTCACGCCGATTTTATGACCAGTGTCGGTTGAACCAGGTACAACCGGTGGCACGCCGGCCAGCGTGACAACCATTTCGTTCCAATGATTATTATTCTTAATCATTTAATGAACTATTACTTTCATATATATATATATATATATATATATATATATATATATATAGATAGATAGATAGATAGATGGTGGCGTATTTGGTGCACTCACTTTTTTTTGTGCACCCAATGCACTCGCCTCATAAGTGTCATTCCAAACATGCGATTCATGTCAAAATGGTATCAATTGTCCCTTATGATATTATGAACAAGAAACACATGAATTTGCAAAAAAGCTCATTCAAGATTTATTTTAATTTCAAGCATTTAGGATTTAGGGATTTAGGGTTAGGGTTTCGGTATACACTTTGGGATTTTGGTTTGGGATTCAAAATTTAAGGTTAAGGGGTTAGGGTAATGGATGATTAGTTGTAATTTTATTTTATATCATCATATTAGACTAGTGCTACCAATTAAAATTCAAAATTTGATGTATTATAGCCACTTTTAGAGTTGGGTGCATTGAACGCACCCAAAAAAGTGAGTGCACCGTAGCCAACAGATATATATTCCTAGAGTATATTATACTTCTGGTACTCCTATTGAGATATATCTATCTAGAACATGAACTAAATCGAGATTGGAGTATGATACTATACCCTAACCTCTAATAGATAAACCCTAGGCTCCTGATTCGTTGAACTCAAACCCGAAGTTCAATTTTAATGAAAAATAATAATTGATCGTTGAGATTGGTCGGAGCTCATCTAAGTACATCTAATGGTCAGATCACCTTGAGTATACCAGTCTATACCATATATATATATATGGCGAGTTCTACGGTACCCTGGGTGAAATTCGGGGTACCGCATACCTTGAGTATGAAAACACTATCTAGACCTTGAATTGACCGATCTTTCGGACATGATACTATACTCTAACACTTAAAGATCAAAATCTAGGTGTTAACTCTCCCAATCTTATACTCCAAGATCAATTTAATTAGAAATAATAATCGACGGTTATGATTCATCCAAATATAGGCACAAAAAGGAATGCACCATCTTAGGGTTTATAGATTATGATTTAGATAATTATGACCTAGGGTTCACTCATTAAGGGTTAAGGGTATAATATCAGACACAAAAATCCTGGTAATTCGAGGTCTAGATAGAGTTTACATACTCGAGGTATGCAGTACCCCGGATTTCACCCGGGGTACCATAGAAGCCACCATATATATATATATATAAAGTGGCGTCTTCGGCGCACCCACTTTTTTTTGTGCATTCAATGCACTCGCCTCATAATCGTTATTCCGAGCATGTGATTCATATCAAAACTGTATTGATCGTTGTTTATGATATTATGAACAAGAAACACATTAATTTTCAAAAAAAAAAAAAATCATTCAAGAGTTACTTTAATTTTAAGGATTTAGGATTTAGGGATTTAGGGTTAGGGTTTAGGTTTACAATTTGGGGTTTTGGGTTGAGATTCAACATTGAAGGTTAAGGTGTTAGGATAATGGATTGATTAGTTGTGATTCTATGTTAATATCATCATATTAGACTAATGCTACCAAATAAAGTTTCAAAATTTTATGTACTATGACCACATTTAGAGTTGGGTGCATTGAATACACCCCAAAAATTGAGTGTGCTGAAATAGCCACCTATATATACCACTGTTTTTTTCATACTAGGGGCAGTGAAAATCAAAATTAAAGAGAAATCCTATGAAGTTGCGTGGGATAATGTGTACAATTGAAGAAATGAGTTCATTTCGATTATCTGCTTCCAATATGGTAAGAGGTTATAAAATCTCCATCATTTTAAGCGCCCTATCTTCTATGCACTTTTTCCCACGTGTCCGTTTTTATATGTGTTATCTCATGAATTATACATTGTTGCATGGTAATTTCTACACTGTTTGTGGTCATATTTGTGATTTGATGTTCATCTGGTCAATGACTCAAAAACAATACATTATTCAACTAACTATTGCTAACAACTATGGGTTGAAATTCATCACACGTGTTGTAATTAATAAGGATGAGATCTATTGGAGAAAACACATGACATATTGAACTGCACTAGAGACCAAAAATTTTCTTTCATCCTAAAGCTTACGTATGAAGCAACTCCAATCTCCAACTATATGATTTATTTATACTTAAATATCCTGCATTAGTTTTAAAGTGCCAAAAACTCTTAATTTTATTTTATTTCTTATCTGTGTTTTGTCCACTATTTGTTAGATAAAATTAGTTCCTAACAAACAGTAGTAAGTAGCAGCAATAGGAAATATTTTTTAGCATAGAACTGAACGTCATAACAAAAACATCACTCATATTACCCATAGTATCACATTTACTTATGTTTCTCACTTGCTTTTATCGGTGAAGGCATTCATCAAGCTTTATCTCTAGTACTTGACTAATTATGCGAGTAACATGGGGTACTTCAGCAGATTCCCATACAAAATAAATAGCAGATCGAAGAACTAATAATGTGAAGCTATGGACTATGAAAGAATATATGAGAATCGAACCATTTCTTCTGACTCTGTTTCAAATTTGATAAATGTTGGTTGATCGTATATTTCATTATAGTTCTATGATTCAGAGTATCATTTCCTATTTGATCCCTTTCAATTCCATATTCGAAGTATTCAGATAACAAACAAACAATCAAACAAAAATTAAAAAAAAAAAATGAGAGACGCACAAATCAATAGCAAGAGAAAAAATATGTCGAAAGCTAGCTAGTGAATTTTATTAGTATATCTCTGAGATTGCTGTCAATCCAAAAGATTTTGGATTCTCCATGGAACAGGCAAGGTACGAAATTAATCAAGTATTCTAATCCGGATAATTACAAACCCTACCGAGAGCATTGTCGCCTACCCGTCCATGAAAACTTTTGAGAACCACTCAAAAGACCCCAATTGACCAAAATTCTGTTTTTTCAGCACTCCTAATCATGATGGCTTAAAGGACTGCAATATAGGAGCCCGCCGGAATCTTACTTTCACGTCTCACCATTATCCTGACAAATCCCTAGTAATTGAATAAAAGAAATCAGTGGATCCATATTATGATATTAACCGTGAAAGGAACATAATTTAAAGCAAAAGTATCCGACTTGATAAAACCATGGGAAAGAATGAGCATAAAGATTGCATCATGATACTAAGGAGTAGTTTGGTTTTGGTGATAGGTAAATCGATGTATTGTCATCAATGCATGCATAATAATATACATGTATATAAGAAAATTGGTGTATTGTAGTTTACATCGTTTGGTTTCTAAGATAGTTATTGTAGTATTTAAATAAATTATATTATTATTTTGGTGAAATGTCACTTTTACTCTTTATTTTAATATAAAAAAGCAACACACATAAAAAGGTAGGGATATATTTGGAAGAAGAAGAAAACACAACAATCTCCATCAAACTATCTCAACAATCTCAACGAAAACTTAAGATTTAACTATCACTCATTTTGAGTGATAGTTTGTGTCAAATCAAGCAAACAATGCATGTACTGTTTGCGCAGAAAATTTAAAAAAACGATGTATTGTGGACATTACATACATTATAACTATCCCAACCAAACTATCACCAAAACCAAACGACCCCTAAGTTCTTGATTTCCCCATTTATGTGAACTTATTTAACATGTTCACTTCCTCCTTTTGATTTCACTGGCGTAGTCAGTATAATCAAAGGCTGAAAAGAAAAGGGGACAAATTAATGAGTTTGAATTTGAAGGGTCATACCATAGTGGAATCTATAACCTGTAACTCGGACTCCCTCCTTGCTTATGGTGAAATCTACTATTTTACTGAAAATAAGAGAATTATGTTAACATGGAGAAGTCCATGCTCATTAAAGATGGAGAATTAGGGATGGCAAATTACCCACTCATGGGTAATTATACCCAAACCCAAGTAGACCCATTGATAATGGGTTGGGTATGGGTGAAGTGCATATGGATTTGGGGGTTTATAGATGGGTTTGGGTAAGGTATGAATATTGCTTTCATAATCTAAATGGGTATGGGTTGGATATGGATATCCATTTACTTGAGGATGTTTTAACTACACATGCGAAAATTGGACCTATTTGTAAAACTTGAAAAGTTTAGGTACCAAAATGTAAGACCAAAAAAATTTAGGTACCAAAACGTAATTTTCCAT